AAATATAAAAATAGACATAACTCACAAATAGACAATAATCAGATATATAATGTCATGCCAAAATCATTTTATTATATAAAACATACCTTTAAAAAGTGAAAAGGAGCCATATTCTCCATTAGCAAACACGTGTTTTCACCGGTGTGTGGTTGTAGATCTATAGGCGTGGCCAATGGTAGCTATAGAGATTGCGCATCTTTCAAAAACAAGTTGGGTGAGTTTTATAAGTTTACCTCCCAAGCCTTTCGCACGGTAGTATAAGTGATTTTACTTACATCCAACGCAGCAATCTGATTGGTCAATTGCAAATAGGCATGGTAGAATGGTATGATAAATTTTCACTTTTAAAATGTGACCATAATTGACAAAAGGTACCTTATGGCGGGTAGTGAAATTTGTCTTTCTAGCCTAAGAAATCCAACTTCCTTAGCCCCATTTATCATAAAATTACTCCACAGGATGCAAAAAGTTACCATGAAACTTTTAGAAACAATGATTGTCTAACAAAGCACTCATAGGTTGATATTTTCCATTATAACAATCAATTTTAAAATCCGCCATAAGGGCCCTTTTGTCAATTATGGTCACAAATAATCTAATCTAAAATCTTAATCTTCATTGAGATGGGTGTGGTTACAGTGAAATAATTTTGCGCCCTGCCACCCTCTATCAATTATTGACCTTACAAGTTACAAGTCACTCACTCAGCAAGTTCTTAGTGAGCAAGAATACAAGATAAGTCTGTACTGCTGTCCAAATACAGTAAGGAAGGTTAAGAAGGCAGATATGCCACAGTTGTGAACTTCTGAAGCCTGCACAACTTCTGACATACATGTAGACTGCAGTTACTGTTTCTGGCTTCCAACGCATAACTTTTATTGCTGCAGAATGTGATAAACTGATAAAGAAAATTTGTATTTTCAACCTTGATAACTTCATACAAACTACTGTATTTACATATGTACATGTACAATAATGTAGCTGTACACCGTATAATCTTCAGGATAGGGGGCTGAGGCCCTTAATGGTTTATATTCGTCTATGAAACATTATTTCTTCAAAATGTAAGTCCTTCAAACTTTTAGGTCTAAAATGATGCTCTACTGGAGCTGATAAAGATGGCATACCCAAGTCTTTTTAGCCAGCACTGAGAGATGAGGAAATGAGCCTATTACTTTGTCCTGGATTCAGTTAGATTTACATCCATTGAGACATTCTTAGACAGTGGTGGATCTAGGGTGGTTCCGTGTGTTTCATGGTATACCTCTTGAAGGAAATGAAAATATTAAATGCTTTAAAATGATATTTGTATGAAAATATATGCATATAATCACCTCTAATCATTGCAAATATAGTGACAAAAATATTTGAGTGAGTTCAAATAAATTATCTAGCCTATAGCTCTATAGTCTTCTTCTCAAGCAGGCAGCCAGAAGTTTCCTTGCCGCAGTTGCTTACAGGTTAAATACTTGTTGGTTTAATCAATAATCATTATGCATGGACCACCTAGCTATTATAGCACATGTGTGTGGTCAGTGGTTTAATACCAGCTACTTTTCTCAAAGAAATGGACTACTACAACTTGTAAATGACTTTGCAAAGTCACATCCTAGGAGAATGGCCTTGTCCTTCATGTTGAGAGAGGATTAAGCCAATTAATTACGCCGATATAATAATAGTAATGTTTATCTATGTGTTTGTAATAT